AGCTAAGGTTTTGAACACTGGAGTCTTAAAACCGTTTGAAATGTTACTATCATAAAATTACAGTGAAGTAATTTAAAGAGAAGTAAAATCAAGTTTATATTTAAGGTTTGTTGGTCTTTGTCTAATATTGTTGCTGGTACTTCAGATTAAGTGAACTAAATTCTCAAAAATGATTCACTCTTAAAAGCCCTATTTAGATAATTTTAATAGGGGGACTCTAAAATCTTCAAAGAAATGTCATATTTTCTATCTAATTTAATAAATTATACAGATTTAAAAATTATAGACCAATTTTTAACATAATATAATTGCTTTTAAAAAATATCAACCATGCTAGACACGGAAGATGAAGCAATAAGAAGAATAATTCTAGAAGGAATTTTGGAATTTTCAAAAAAAAGTAAAAATTCAATCATATTAAGTCTAAATTAATGCAAAATTTTAGGTATATAAGTAATTGATGGAAGATTCAAAAATTATTGACAAAGTTAAAATAATGTAAAATTATGTTACAGATGAAATTTCTGATTAGGCTAATCAAATTTTGAAGACTTTAGATTTGGAAGAAGTTGTTTGAAATGAATTTTATTTTATCAATTTCAAAAATATAATTATCATACAAAAATTTCATTTATTTTAAGCATTATAACCTAATAACTAACTTAAAATGTATTTAATCTAAAGAGTTAATAGTTACCAGAAAATAAGATTACTATATTTTATAGGAATCATTAAGTTGAGTTAAGTTAATCAATTCAAATATAAAAAAATTGAATCTCGTATATAAATTGATTTCCTATACTGTAAGAAATTTCTAAAATTACAATCATTATACAAATTTTCACCTTAGTGTATATAATAAATTATATAATTATTAGTTCAAGAGGTTAAACATCAACAAGAAATTCGTTTTAACTTCTATTTTCTTCTCATATTTGTTTTTAATTTAATTTTCTGTTTATAGTGCTTCAAAATATTTAATTTGATATAAATACTTTTTTCTCATTTTTTATTAAAAATTATTTTTGTTAATTTTGAATACTTCTGTCTAATATTTAAGATATGGATTTAATTAATATTATTTAGAATCAATAATGATACCCAAAACTCTAAAACTCTTATTATTAATTATACCATAAATCAGTGGCATAATATTTGATCAAGGGTTATGCTAAGAAACATGCTAGTAACAAAATGCCAATTTTGATTGCAAAAACCAAATTCAATATACGTTTACTATAGCGTTTAATTCTCCTTTTGATAATGTTCCTTAAGTTTTTCTTGTCTTAGATCTTCTCAGTGTTGATGTGAAAACTGATTTTAGAATGTGGATCGATAATATCACTAAATAAAGTGAAATATACATATATCCATTAAGATTTCAACTTATTTGTAGTTTGCTTAACTGGTTGGGCAAGTTGTGTTAGAATTAAGTGGTATGCTATCGATGATTAGAGGTTTTAAATAGTCAATGCTTTTAATACTATTGATCTTACTTAAACGAAATTTTAGCACAAGAATAAAAATGTGAATACAGAATTTGCTCTCATTTCCTTGATAAGTCATAATTTTGATGAAATCAACTTTAAACTTTAAGTACTTTTTTATCTAAAAATGAGATTGATGAAATTACAAGCGATGATGTAACAGTCTCTTTGACAAAGGTGCCTGCAGATTTTTCACAACAGGTTTAAGTGGGATTTCAAATTATTTTAGGACCAAAAGAAGCATTCTAAAAATTCTTTTTTATTGATTCTACAGAAGATTACATAAAACTTATTGAAGAGGTATAAAATGCATGGTTTTTATCCCTATTTACTGGGATGGGATATCCTTATACTGATGCTGTGAGATTAGATAAATAATATTGGTATTAAGAAGCTTCCACATATTAGTATAGTTTAAAAACTTGTAAATATTTTTCCTAATGTTAGGGTACAGTGCTTTTACTCCTTGCTCTC